CGACGATTGATTATCTGTTCCACCTTACTGATGTCTTCCAACTGCAAGGGGTACATTAAATCCATCACATCGTCATCACCACAATGCAGCAAGAAGTGTTCGACATGGTCAGCTGCGTCGGCGCCACCCTTCTCGTACTGGATCTTGGCTGTCCGAGCGTACCCGTTGAGTCGGATCAGGAAGTCGCAGATCGGTTCGTTGACTTTACGTCTCGCCGAGTAGTAACGAGTGCGGGCGGATTGGTCGAACTGTGAGCAGTAATAATCCAGGAACGCCTCGCTGAGTAGTTTCCAACGTCGCTGAGTCTTCTTCGGCAGCTGCCTGTACCAACTCTTCGCCGCGCGTCCCAAGCATAGCGAGAAAGGCTCGCACCATGCACTTTGGGGCATCCTGGTGCTCTTCATCTCGTAGATGAACCGCTTGAGCCACTGGAGCGACGCGTCAGAGCGGTAGCGCTTTCCTTCGAACTCGGCGATTTTGTCGAGCGAGGCGTGGGTTCGGACTTCTAGGTACTGCGTCGAGTCTTCTTCAGCCGCGTCAAAGCTCAAGTTTCGAATGTAGTCCTTCACGGTTTCTTCACGGTTACCTCTCACGTCGAAGGCGTCGCCGTCTTCTTCATCCTCCTCGTAAGCCTCAGCCTCATCTGCAGCGTCATACAATTCACGATAACGACCTACATTTCGCTGCCCACGACTCGGCGCTCGCTGAGTCGGGTTTAGCTTTAATGGAGTCAGCATGTGAGAGTCTTCAAAGTACGGAGTCCCTTGCGTAGCGCGGAACACTTCACGTCTCTTCGTCTCCGGGGTTTTCGGCAAAGGAATCTTGCTCGGGTCCTCGCCGAGTGGTTTGAACTCGGCTACTCGGCTGTACACCTTCTTCGTTCCACCAGGGGCCTTCTCCAATCCAAACGCTACTCTGAGCTTCTTCTTCCATTGCCAGAGCTCGGCTCCGCCACGGGTCAGACTCCAGTCGGACAGAATGAGGCTGTTTGGTCGGCTGTTGCACCGATAGCCCATCGCCTTTCAACAGCAACACAGTTTCCTTCCACCAACTGATCGATGTTGGCTGCACGCACCGGCTGAGTTAACTCGGGACCCAACATCGGCCACTTCGCCTGCGCGATCGCCACAGGCGCGAACATCATCATCCATTCCGATCTCGTTCTCATCTCCTCGCCGAGTCGAGCCAACA